GGGAGCGCCCCCATGTTGGTTCCTGCCGAGATTTGGGTCATGACCTGGGTTCTGGTGGCTGTGCCAAGGGGGCTCCAGTCGCAAGTGGAACGTGTGGCCTGGAGTGTGCCGCATGTGGTGCTTCTAGGCATAGATGTGGTGTGGCCCACGCAGCAGCCACACAGTGGTGCTTAACGGCTCTGGCCTGAGGCTCCCGCTCGGGTTGGCCAAATTTCGGCCCGAGGAGGGCCGACTAGCTACCGGATGGAGGTGGTGGGTGTTGCCCCGAGCAGGATGTGGTGGAATGCGGCGGACATGCGTGTGGTGAGTGGTGTGTGTTGGTGGTGGTTTATGCGACTCTGGGAGGGGTTGCCTTGCCGTCAGATCTTTCGGCTTCGATACGGGTGATGCGTCCTTCGGGTTCGTCTGGGCCAAGGCTAGAGGGACTATGCTTGTGACATTCTCGGCGACGGGCCGTTGACAGCCACGGGACGGTGTTCCCTCCCGATTCAGGTGGTGCTGGTTGGGGACGCCGTGTGGGCACCTTCATCGTCAATCCGCCATGATTAGGTGGCTGATGTCGAGTAATGACCAGAAAGAGGCGCCTTCCTACTCTTCCTTTCGTGGTTGACGAGTTGCCAATGTGGGCAGTGGGCAGAGTCTCAGGGTCTTGGATGTCGGGGCGGCGACCCTGGTGGTAGGATGCGCATTTGGCTCTGGGGCGGAGAATGTTAAAGTGGTGTCGACTGCGTTCTTTGGCCAATGGAGATAGGCATTATGATGTTCATGGCGTGTAGTGGTTAACGTTGATGATCACATTGCCGCCGTAAACATCATAATGCCTATCTTTAGAATCTAAGAGGGTGTTTGGATCACTAGTGACTAGAGACTAGAGACTAGTAATAGTCACTTTTAGTCAGTAAACCTCCAAACACCCCTGACTAATGGATGACTAAAACTAGTGTAGTCCCTAGTCACCCCACCCCCAACTAAAAGTGACTAACGTCTCTCCTCTAATTAATTGGCAGGCCCATCCTGTTGTGGGCATAAGGGAGAGAAGAGAGATAAATGGAAGGAAGAGAGAAGAATTTAATACTGAGACATTTAATGCTGACTAGTAGTAGTCACCTTCCAAACAGGGGAGAGTATCCAAACACCCTCTAAGATCTGTGTGTCATGTTTCGATGATCTTACCCACCCATGGTAAATGATACACGGACACAAATTGAACTTGTATTCTGGAATCAAGCAGCGTCGATATAGCAGAAACGTGATTTCCACCTCACAATCACCAGTTGCTTTTCTTTTTACTCCGGCCTATGCATCATCAGCAGTACAGGCATTATTATTTCCCAGTAGCTAGATCTCCAAATCAGAATCAGATACAGGTGAACTTGAGGTCTAAAGCTTGAAGGCCTTCTCCACGCTCTCCCTCCGCGCGCCGACGGTCTTGTACACGCGCATGAACTCGTCGAAAGTGACAGTGCGGTAGCGCGGCGGGTTGCCCTCGCCGACGAGCTCCTCCGCGGGGCCGATGGGGATGTCCGCGGCCGGCATGAGGAACGTCGCCACCGACGTTCGTGCCAGCGCCCCGTTGGTCATCGCCCGGTGCTCGATGCTCTTCAGAACCCCGTTGGTCGCAATCTGCATCAACATCAAGAAATGAACTATCAGTCAGCCTGGTGATAATTTGTGTTGATCGATCGACGACCCCACATTGAAAAATGAGCAATCTGAGGCAAAGGGGGAAGTGATCAATGGATGGATGCCTCGAGCAGGTGGCCGAAGTTGACGACGAAGGCGTTGGGCACGGACTCGACGTTGATCCAGTCGCCCTTGTAGGAGACCTGGAGGCCCGGAACGGTGCTCTGGAGCAGGAGAGTGATGAGGTTCCGGTCGCAGTGGGGCGGCAGGCCCAGCGTCAGGCCCGGCGCAGGGCACGGCGGGTAGTGGTTGACGTTGATGATCACGTCGCCGCCGGTGAGGTCCCCTTCGAAGTAGTCCGGCCGGAGCCCCATGCCCTCGCACAGCAGCCGCAGCAGCTCCATCCCCACGGCCCTCGTCGGCTCCACGAACTTCTCAACCACCTCGCTGCAGCGCACTCGAGATTCAACACCAAAATTAGTCAAATCAAAAAGAAAAAATTAAATAAATAATCGGGTATCATATGATATGATTGAGTTGGCATCGTGAATTTACCGGAGCTTTTGCGGCTTGTCGGGCCAGTTGTTCTTGGTGTCGCCGACGGGCGAGCCGCAAGCGAGGCGGAGGCAGTCCCGCCAGTACTTCTCGCCACCGAGCTCGTAGGTGGTGCTGGAGAAGAGACGGTTGGGCTTGTCCGTGTCCTCCGAGTAGAAGGCCACCTTATCCTCCGCAGGGAGCCGGAAGAACTCCTCGCACGCCGCCTCCATGTCCCGTATCGCCTCCGCAGAGATGCCGTGGTTGACCACCTGCACCCATCACCGCGCGGCGGTCAGCCGGTCCGGTGCTTTGACAACGAAACATCGAGAGATGAAGTATCTAACTAAAAGGGGGCTGTGATTTCGCACTGACCTGGAAGAACCCGAGCTCCTTGCCGGCGTCGAGGACGGCGCGGCGGACCTCGTCGCGGCCGCGAGAGAGGTCGATGACCGGGAGGGAGACGGCCTGAGTGGAGGCCGGCGGGCGCTGATCGGGCGGGAAGACGAAGCAGTCCGGGAGCGTCGCGTGGGTCGGGACCGAGGAGAGGAGGTTCGCCATGGCTCTGCTCTGCTTGATCTGGAAATCTTGGGGAGACGAGACCGGTAGGTGAGCAGGTCCGGTGAGCAGGGGAGCACAGGAGCTCGGGAGAGGAGACAAATGCGAATATATCCGACATGCTTCACGGACATCCCAAAGCTTAAAGGTGTGGCCCTCTTTTTCGGCCCACGAGCCGGCCAGCCCATGCTCCACACGACGAGTCCGTTCGGACAGTACGAGTCGGATTGGTACAATACGAGACGACGGCGAAATCGCTGATTATGGCGTAACTTTCGGACGCGGAGTAACTGGTCTCGAGCTCATATGCTCTCGATATTCTGGGCGTTCGCTAATGCATAGGGATATGGGCCAATTCTTTATATAGTTCGTTTTGAAGTGCTGGTAATTGCGCACTGTGCGGGAATACGTATGTGCCAGGGCGAGGGGTGGGCCAGCTGCTTGGCGGCCGTCTCCGGATGACGGGCTGAGCCGTGGCCCAGGATCGTTTTTGTTTGTCTGATCCGTGGCTCAGATATCGCTTTCCGTCAGGGCGGCAGCCTCGAAACGAATGCAGACGCAGACTATTCTTCCCCAACGCAGCCGCCATTTTCGGTATCTGATGAGGGAGAGAGGGAGGAAGTTGGAGAACAGGCGACCAACGCTAACGGAGTTCCCTATGCAGCCAATCAGAAGGTATGATAGCGATTTTTTGCAAACTTTGCGTGCGATTTGAAGAGCGGAGCTCAGAGGGTTGGGGTTTATTTGCTTTCTGTGCCACAGATCCACGCTGATTGAGGAGGTAGGAGAGAGTCTGCTGCCGGAAGGTTCGCCGGTGGATGGTGGTGGAGGTGCTGTTTCTGGTCAACACGAGTGTGAGCGGCGATGGGCGGATCTGCATGGCATCTCTGCACCGGTGGCGATGAGCGAAGATGGGCGAATCTGCAGTATGGCAGCAGTGTGAAGGGACAAGTCGCTTCCATATTCTGAGCTCCATACGGGGAAGATGAATCCCCAGACTCCGTGTTGGAGTAAGAGGTTAGGGGAACTAAATTTAAAATTTGATCTATGCTATGAAGAATTTCAGTAAACGTATTTTCAGGCTGTTTGTGGCCGTGCAGTGTTGGCTGAATTTTTGGCATGGCAGTAATCCATAGTCTGATATGCATTAGTGTGAGGACTTATGTTTTAAGCGGTTAATCTAATCTAATTAGTCTTTATGTGAGTTAGTAGTTTGAACTGCAACTAGATGGGCAGTGTATCAATTTGGTTGATACAAATCATATATAATCCCTTTCAGGTTGAGAATTGGTGCCGCTGCTCCTAGCAGGACACCCCAAACCGCATTGTTTGTGTAAAACCCGGCTGAAAATGTTACTCCGGTGTTGGGTACTACTTTAACTTGCTGGGTGAAGCATATGAGGTGAGCCTTGGATCAAGTTCCTTGATTTCTGTCTGATCTGTGGCTTGGAAAGGTCGCTTTCCGTCAAAGGGTGGTAGGCGTGGATTGAATACAGGGCGAGTTTGTTCTTCTCTGACGCAGACATCATTTTGAAACTTCAGAAGCACGGGAGGGAGGGAGTGGAAGAACAGGCGACCAACGGCGATGGCTTTCCTGATGTTCCGGCGGTTAAGCTTTTGTGATTTGTCTCTCCTAGATCCACTTTGATTGAGGAGGTAAGCAACGGCACCAACCAGATCACTGAGATCAGATATGATAAGATGAGATGTACATGCACTGGGGTTAGATGTAGATAGATCATAGATCCATGGTCCTGTCAGCTCTTCACCAAATGCATGCACTGCTGTACCAGTAGTATTTGGTGGAATTCATGTACACTGTTACTTGTTTTCTGAGAAAAGAAGAATGAGAAATAGTACATGCCTGTTGTATCCCCTTTTTGTGTGTATAAATGTTGTCCAATTTTCAGAGGATATCTGCAGTTTGTGCCAGTTAGCTAGCTTTGTTCATATGCTTTTATTTGTTCAGTACAGGAATGCTAGTTACTTCCGCTAGCTGTTTGGTTTCAGTTTAGTTTGCACCGCCAGATGAATCTACTAATGGTGAGTAAAAACAAATAAGAAAAACACGGGACTCATCTTAATTAGGAGACACATATCATCTAGAGATTTCCTACCAGGTCCAAGTGTGTTGCGCTCTAATTGAACTCATGGTTAGGTATTGCTAACTGACCATGGAGGCCTTCTTTGTTTGCCGCTGCAGATTCCAAAACTGTGAAATAGGAAGATAGATTTCTCCAGTGCTCTCTATCTTCAGCAAATTTACTATAGGCGCACATATTGTACTGTTTCACAAATATGCCATGCCATGCTACAGTGTTTTATGATCTCTATCATTCACATGAAAATCTGTTTACTATGCATTCACGCCATATATAAGTACAAATCATGTTGCATTGGCTGGTTAACCCCTCGATCTGTTTGTCCCTGCCTGCATTTTCTCACATTGTTTGTGTATGATGAAGGCACCAAATAAGATTCTTGCAATAGTTTGTCAAAATACAGCTCTGTATAGCAGAGATAGCACCACCAGCTAAACGCCTTCTTCATAGCTCTCATCTGAATCTTTTCATTTTATTTGATGCATTTTGGACCCTATAGTTGAATGAGGCTAGAGGTGACATGTCATTTTAGAATAAATCAATTTTGACTGATAGTTGACACTGTAGTTTATGTTCTATTTGCAGTGGATTTCAAGATACGAGTCATGATAGTGTAAATTATTGCTGACTTACTGTACATTCTAGCATGCTCCTATTATAGTTTTAGAAAGCTATGATATTTACTTTCTAATTATGTTACCCACTTCTTATTAGTTTTCATCAAGTTTTCTATCTTCACCGACATGTTTCTATTTAATTTCAGTTGAGTTATTAAGAAAGCCCAAAGAATATCGTTGTGAAGATTCCGGCGTAGATGATAATTCAAACAAGTTGTGAAGCTGGTGCTGGAGAAATGTCATTGTGAAGCTCATCCTTTTGTTGTGTTTGTCAATGGTTGCTGGGACACCTTGTGTGAGGTCAAACTAATCTTCGACTTGAAACTTGGGCACCTTGCACTCTGTTTCTCAACTTACCACTGTTGAGCAATGCTTAATGTACTCATCTCTTTAAATATAGAGCAGTGCTACCTTTTCTGAGCACGCATATGATTCTGTAGCTATATGAGGTTGTCAGCGTGAGTAGGCAGCTTAAATACATAGCTGCAGAATTTATGGGACGGATGTTAAATTGTGCAGCAACAAGATTTGCGTTTGAGTTTGCCTGAATCAGATGGGGGCGGCGGCTGGCGAGAATCTTGCGTGGAGCGTGGGAGGTGGGGCACTAAATGGGGCGAGTCAGACAGTCGCCGTTAGAGTACGACGTCTGAGCCGTGGACCAGAACATGTCGACGCTTCTGAGCCTTCACGTGTCCAGCGGCGGGCGTCACATTAATTAGGATGGTGCTGTGGGCCAGGAACTGAAATAAGGACGAACATACTAGTTGAAATACACTGCCAGATACATGGGCAAGTGCGAATCTGGAGGCAAACGAGCGATGGGGATAGCGAGTGCATCTGAGCTCGAGCTCAGAATAGCACTTTCGGTAACTTTCGCAAAAGTTATCAGGTCTTTTTTTATGGCGACAAGTGTCACATTTCGTAGTATATGTTATTAGTTGTCGTAATTTGAGAGTTTTAATGAAAAAATTCAACACAAAGAGAGATAAGTTGTTTTGTGTGGAAAAAAGTCCATTTTACTACCCTGAACAAAGTTGGTGGTTCACATTACCCCCTGATCTTTATTTCGGTTCCCTTTACCCCCTGAACAATCCCAAACCGGACAAAAGACCCCCTTGGGTGGTTTGTCTCAACATGCAGCTGATGTGGCGCTAGTCAATGGTGGTTTTGACCTGCGGGTGGGGCCACGAGGATTAACTTAAGTGAAACAGGAAATTAGCCCATGGTTAACTAGGAAATGGGACCCGCTTGGCAGTGACTCAGGGGGCGCTCGGTGAGGAAATTAGCCCTCGAGGCGGCGCTTGATGTCGAGCAGGTCGCGGCGGAGGTTGTCGTTAGTGGGGAACCGCGCGTCGATGGCCAGGAACTCATGGGCTGCGGTGGCGGCGGCCGCGAGGTCGTTGGCTGCCAGGGCGCGGCGCGCAGCGTCGAGCGCGCGGGAACAGTCGAGTGCGGCCTCGACACGGGCCAGGGCGGACTCGGCGCGCGAGTGCGCCGCATCGAGGTGGCGGATGCGGGAGGAGAGCACCTCGGTGAGCGCGGCGGTGGAGGAGGATGACTCCCTGAGCGCGGTGGCGTCGGAGGCGGCGAGCGGGAGGAACGGCGGGGCAGAGCGGAGCAGGGAGGCGGCCGCACGGTCGAGGTTGGGGCGGTGGGCAAGGAGCGCGTTGAGGCGAGCGTCGAGGGCGCGCTGGTAGGCGACACACTCGTGGAGCAGGCGGGTTGCGACGCCGACGTCGGTGAGGTCGTGGAGGGCGGCGAGGGAGGCCGGGTCGCCGAAGTCCAGGGACAGGCGGCGTTGGCAGACGCGTTGGCCGCCGCGGATGAGTCCGGGCGAGGGGAACGCGGGGTGGGCCCGGCGGACGGCACGGCCATGGATGCCGGGGCAGGGTGGATCAAAGTGAGTTCAGATGTGCGGGAAGGGAGAGGGAAGAGAAGGGAGAAAGAAGAAGCAGGGCGTCAGGGCAGCAGCTTGGAACTCTGACGGTCGCCGGCATCATCCAGATGAGGCGGGGTCGCGCGCGGTGCTCGGGATGGAGGCAGCTGCGATGGGAGGCTCGGGAGGAGCTCCTCTGTCTCAACCCAGCGTGACGAGGGAGACTCGCCTGCAGGTCAAAACCGCCCATTGACCATTGCCACGTCAGCAATCAGTCAAGTCAAACCACCTAGGGACTGGTTTTGTCCGGTATGAGATTGTTCATGGTGTAAAAAGAACCGAAATAAAGATCAGGATTTTATGTGAACCACCAACTTTGTTCAGGGTAGTAAAATGGACTTTTTTTCT